CCCCCCCCACACACACCCAGAGGGAAGCACAGGATTCCCAGGAGCACAGGTCCAGAGAAGGCTGGTGAGGGCAGGTCCTCCCTTTCTGGGCATCAGAGCAGCCCCACCCTGGGCTCCTGCTGCCGGCAGGTCCCCCCGGGCCTGGGGCTCAGTAAACAGTTGTTGAGTAAACATACAAATTAACAGAAAGAACAAGATAGGACTTTCCTAGCATGTTTGATCTTGTGCATCTCGGATTGGGGAATATTTTGAAAAGAAACTGAAGCAAAGTATGTGATTTTATTTATTTTAAAATGTGTCGCTATAAAGATATGTAGCTCAATGGCTAGGTCCTGAAAACCTTCTCAAGGTTCCTCAGATGAATGAGGAAGAAGACATCAGCCTATTTGGAACTTGGCGACTCAAGTTTGTTGATGGGACCAACATCCAAACACAGGAAACCGCGAGGGGGATGGGAGGGGGAGAGGGGAAGACCTACAGTAGCCATTCGGACCCCAAGAGACATCCATTCCTTCTGACTCAAGCTCTGTGACATCACAGAAAATCACAGAGCAGATCCAGTCTCAGCTTCAGAAGAGCCGTGGACAGGGTGCATCCTAGACACCATCCTTTAAGTCCATGGCCTGCCCACAGAACTGCAACCTCAGACGTGTGAACTCCAGCATCTGGCCCTCCATGAGCTTTCCTTGGAAAATACACAGACTGAGCTAAAAGACCACTTGGTCCCCCAAAAGGATGTTTGGAGGCCAGCAGAAGGATCCTGAAATCGCTGGCTGTGTGGCCAGATTTGGGGCCCTGCTTGGGTCCCTGTGACTACACGGAAATTCATTCATGGAAAACTGTGGCAGCTGCCACTAAGCACCGTTCTGACAAGGCGGGTAGGAGTCAGAGCTGAGGCGCCAGCAGGCTGGGCCCACAGGACTTGAGAAGAGCAGCAGCCATCTTCCCAACGGGACGAGGCCGCCAGAGCCGCACAGCGCTGATGAATCTGCTGCATTTGGTGGGCACTCGTCTCTCTTTGCCACTACGACCAACTTTAAAAGAAAAATCACTCCAGGAACTCCACACAAATGATCTCAGTAACCCTTACCACATTAAATGAGGCAAAGATCTCCCTTCTACAAGCTGGGGAAACTGAGGGCAGGGAGAGGTAAGGAAGCTGGCCCAGATCACATGGCGGGGACGAGGGGGAAAGTGGGCCTGGGGTCCAGGCATCCTGCCCCAGCCCTGAGCTCCTAACTGTATATCACATTACAGTGGTCCCCCCTTCTCCTTGGGGGATATGTTCCAGGGTCCCCAATGGATGCCTGAAACCACAGATAATACCAATACATAGGTATGCATGATTTTTCCTATATATACCTATGATAAAGTTTAATTGGTGAATTAGACACAGTAAGAGCTTAACAATAAAAATAAAGCAGTCATAACAACATACTCTAATAAAAGTTATATGAATGTGCCCTCTCTCCGCACACCAGCAGACATTTCTTTTTCCTTTTGCACAATTCCACAGACAGAACATTCATTCTTATCTCAGATCTTAGCAACTTCAGCATACAAATTTTTTTTTCTTTCCTTATTAAGACGAGAACTTTCACCTTTTTACTTCAAGGAAGCACTATACAGCTTCTCTTTGGCATATCAGAATGGCCAGCATTGCTGCCCTTGCACTTTGGGGCCGTGGTTAAGTGAGATAAGGTGACTGGAACAACGGCCTGTGATGCAGCAGCAGTCGAAATGATAACGGAGATGTGACTAATGGGCAGGGAGTGTGCACAGCGTGAATACGCTGGACAAAGGGATGAAGGGATGATTCACGTACCAGGCGGGATGGAGTGGAGGGTGTGAGAATTCATCACGCTACTTAGAACAGGGCACAATCTAAAACTTATGAATTATTTATTTCTGGAATTTTGCATTTAATATTTCACACCATGGTTGACTGTGGATAACTGAAACTGCAAAAAGTGAAACCGTGATGAGGGGGGTACTGCCACAGAGGTAGTGCCCGCGTAGGGTGCAGCCAGGGTGTATGAATGTGACTCAGTGGCCTGGCCACGGGGAGGCCTGTGACATGTGTCTGTGTCCCCAGGTCCGTGGAGAGACTGCCTGCAGGCCCTGGAGGATGGCCACGACACCAGCTCCATCTACCTGGTGAAGCCAGAGAACACCAACCGCCTCATGCAGGTGTGGTGTGACCAGCGGCACGACCCCGGGGGCTGGACCGTCATCCAGAGGCGCCTGGACGGCTCTGTCAACTTCTTCAGGAACTGGGAGACATACAAGGTGAGACCACAGGGCCTGTCTGTGCTGCCCACCTCGAGAGGCCTGGCTGACCAGGGAAGGAGCCACTGGGAGGGAAGGTGCCCGCTGACCTGTCAGCGCCTGAGCAGCCCCAAACAGTAAACACCTGAGGCAAGAAGGACACTGACGGGGCCATCTCTGTGGACCCACCAGGGCTGGCGAGGGCCAGTAGCTCCCTCCTGCCTGCCGCTCGCCACTGATGGGAGACTAGAGTCCCGAGTTCTGACCACAAGCTCCAAGATGGCCCCCACTCCAGCCTGGGTGTGGGAGCCGCTCACTCCCAGTTGGGCTTTCCTGGGGAAGACGTTCGCACAGCCCAGAAGGGACAAGTCCCCATTCCCAGGGGTGGATACTCATTCTCACAGTAGGAAAGGCTACTAGGACTCGGTCGTGCCTCTGCCTCCTTCCTCTAAACAAGGAGGTGGTGACAGGGGCAACCAGAGCAGCTCGGCTTACTGGGTGCCTGCCCCGCACCAGGCAACACCCGAGTGCTGCCATTCAGTACTGCATTTAGTCTCACGTCAGCCCTAGGAGGCACATACTGGTAACGACCCGGTTTATAGATGAAAAAGTGAAATAACTCGCTCAGCTTGCAAGTGGCAGAGCAGTGTCCAGAGCCTAGGCCTCTGACACCAAAGCCTACAAACCCCCCGGCCAGGATGCCTGCCGCGGCTCTGCTGGGCCCCCTCCTATCCTGGCTGCCCTCTGACCCACCTCCTGCCCGGCCTATGTCTTGGCTTCTCCTCTCCCTCCTCTTTCCTCCTCCTTTCTGCATTCTCTATCTCAGAGACAGTGGAGCACGGTGGTAAGACTGGGCTCTGGGTTCAGATCCCAGCTCACCCCCCAGCACCTTGTGATGCAGGGCTTTCTGGGCCTCAACACACTTTCCAGGGGGGACAATGACAGCACCCAGCTCTTAAGAGCTGGCAGGAGTTGGTGAAGTTCTGATAACAGTGCCAATATGGTCTTGAGCTCACCAAATACTATTATTACTATTATTATTATTATTATTAATGAATCCATCTATTTTCAAGACTTCAGTGGCCATGACTCAGCCGATGACTCCCCAAACTACATGTAACACAGTAACAAAACCACCAGATTTTAGACCTTAGAGGGAGCCCAGGTGGATGCAGCACATGTTTGTCCCAGCTCACCCTGTCTGTGCTTTAGTGTTTGCATGACTCTCACACAGCCCACCCCAGAGAAGGAAAGCGAAGCTCAGAGGAAGTAAGCACGTGTCCGAGGAGCTCTGTTGCCTGCCTGCTGTGCTGGGCTCTCCATTTATTTACCTTGCCTCGTGTTTCCCTGCAGACCGTGCGGGGAAGGGAATATAGCATCCCGCATGTCCACGCAAAGCCTAGCACAGAGCAGGCACTCTCTAAGTTGCCTTGATGATGCATGATTGAGGCTCAGAAAGAAGTGACTCATCAAGTCACAGCCAAGCAGAGGAGTGGGGATTTGAACCCAGGCCTGCCTTAGGCACTGCCTGTGTCCAGGCCCTCTGTCCAGGGCTGTGCACCTGACGGCCAGGCCCTGCTTGCCGAGGGCCCTGCATAATCCTCACTAACGCTCTCCTGTGTTTTCCCCAGCAAGGGTTTGGGAACATCGATGGTGAGTACTGGCTGGGCCTGGAGAACATTTACTGGCTGACGAACCAAGGCAACTACAAACTGCTGGTGACCATGGAGGACTGGTCTGGCCGCAAGGTCTTTGCAGAGTATGCCAGTTTCCGCCTGGAGCCTGAGAGCGAGTATTATAAGCTGCGGCTGGGACGCTACCATGGCAACGCTGGCGACTCCTTCACCTGGCACAACGGCAAGCAGTTCACCACCCTGGACAGAGATCACGATGTCTACACAGGTAGGACCATGGAGTCAGACCCAGGTGGAGGACCAAGAACAAAGGTCAACCACAGCCAGTCCCAGACACCAGGGCCTGAGAACAGGCAGATCCCTGGGTCCAGCTGCCTAACCCTGTCCCTGCCCCTGAAGGCCCACTCCTCTGCCCACTGGCCATAGGTCCCCTTTGCAAAGCTGGGTCAGAGTGGCATTTACAAAAAGGTAAAGTGTGTACAAATGACACACGTGATGGCCAATCCAGGTGCGCTCGCATAACCTCTTACCTGAGTGCTGAGTGTCAGGGCCTCACATCCCCATGGACTCTGGCCACATGCTGTGCTGGTCCCACCTCCTGCCAGCCATGTGCCCTGGCCTCTTGCTAATCTCTCTGGGCCTCAGTCTCCACATGGACACAAGGACCAGGCCCACCTCGCAGGGAGATGAGCTGTTAGAGAGGACGCACTGGGCTGCTTTCGCTGGGCTTGGCAACAGTCAGGCTCAATGCAGTGGTGCCTTATGACCGCTGCTCTAGCACGCACCGTTCACCTGGCGCTGCAGGAGCCGGTGAGAGGAACCAGCTAGGAAAGAGGAAGTCATTTGTCCAAGGTCACATGCCTCACACTCAGGCCTTCACTAAGAAGTCTTTATATTAAAACAAACACAGGGAGAAAACAGAAAATTATAAGCACAGATTCACACCCCTCAGAGCCCCATACCCAATTTCTTGAGATGAGGCCCTAGCTCAGCGGTTCCCAGCCTGTGGGTCGCGACCCCTTTGGGGGTCGAACGAACCTTTCACAGGGGTCACCTAAGACCATCGGAAAATACATATATAATTACATATTGTTTTTGTGATTAATCACTATGCTTTAATTATGTTCAATTTGTAACAATGAAATTGGGGGTC